GGGATGAGTGGTAAAGTGCGCGCATCTTCTAGTTTTTAACTCAGTGTCTATGTGGTCCGTTCGGATGTTTTCCTGATTCTTCTCTAGGTGTTATCGCTTGGTTTTCTTGTGTGTATTCTTTGTGTGTGATCTTCGATCATTTTAAGCCTTGTATAAATTCGCGATTGGATGTTTAAGAAACAAGCCAAAGACGGAGAAAGCTAATAAAAGAAAAAAAAAAAAAAAAAAGTATTCAAAAAGAACAAATTGTTTCTCGGATGAACCAATTTCGTCAACGAGTCTGACACCATCACATTGTGGGTCTCTTAGGATTCTTGTTCATTATATGGGTTTCTGTTTTCCTTGGGTTTTATTTAATTATATATTGGATCGTTGGTACTGGATAAAAAAGGGCCAATAACTCATTAATGATCAAATAACTTCAATATGAAAGAATTTCTTGATATCATGTATACGGTGACTATTTTTTTAGTAATTTGACAACGTAGCATTCATGAGGAGAGGAAGAAGAACAAGAGAACAGAGAGGAACGAGGAAGAAGAACATACGAGAAACAGAGAAGAAGAGGAAGAAGAACAATGAGAAAAGAGAGGAAAGAGGAAGAAGAAGAAGAGTAAGAAGGCGAAGGGGTTGGAGAAAAAATGCAAGGGAGAAGATGTGAAGAGGAGGGAGTCGAAAAGAAGAAGGCTGGATGGAACAGTGGTCTGACTGGACCCGCCGACCGTCATAAAATCTCTTTGATATTGATATATTGTCTTTATAGTACCTAAAGTTTCATTTTAACATTTTTAATACCCATTCGGGTCGCATATCTCTCCTGATTAAATCTATTCAGCTGGGGGAAATCTAATAGTGCTGCATAGCATTCAAGGAGATCTAGTAATTCTCGGACATGTGTTTATGTGTTCATTTGCTATTGTCTTGACTATGCTTTGTTTGTTTTTACTCTTTGCGTAATTAGATGTGTGTTATGTCTCTAGTGTCTTGATATATTGGGTGTGTTGGTGTCATAGTAACTTGTCAATGAGAGAGGTAGGGGACTAAGACCATGCTGCTAATGAATGATAGACCTTAGGATATTAAGTGTTGCAATATGATGTTAAGGTTGGGAAATCTATGTCTTTCTTGAGAGCCAGTATAACATTGAATTGGCGAGACTAGAATATTGTCTCTTTTATGATTAATTTTCGGGGTATTCGCCACTGTATATACGGAAACATTTGTACTATGTATTCTTTAGGGCTCAAAAGATATGAATTTCGGCGATCTATTCATTAGATTCAAGTATACTGCGATAACATTTCTTTTTAGGTATAATCTCATATTCTCATAAATTTCTATTTTAGTAATAATCTCATATTCATATATAACATTTTTCTATTTAATATATCTCTTAATCAATTTTGATTTCTTTACCGTTTATTTCTATTTTTAGACATCTCACTTTACCATTTAACAACCCTATGATTCCTATTAAAAGCTATTTTGAGGAACCCATTAAGTAGTTTTGCCCAACAACTTCCGTCAGCCGAAACGACCCAACAAGCCTATTATCATTTAAAGGTCAAGGAAGATGATTCTTGAAGACGGTCGAGGACGAAACGTAATATAAAGTTTTTTTTTTTTTTAAGAAAAGATGCGTTTTTAAAGGTCAGAAAGAGAGAAGTTGAGGATTTATGGGCATAGATTTTTTTTTTTTTTTTTGGGGGGGGGGGATTTTTTAGCATTGTGTTGTTTATTTGTCTTGATTTGTGAAAATATAGATATTTGAATAGAGAGAGAATGCAAGAAAATGTATTTACATGTATTTTAAGGTAATATATATATGTATACAATATATTATAATATATATATTATATTATATGTATGTTTATATATATATATATATATATATATTATATATAATATAAATTTATGTATATACACTATATGTGTATGTATGTATGTATATCTGATATTATGTGTGTTATGCATGTATATGTATGTATTATACTATATATAATATATATTATATATATTATATATATATATATATTTATATATTATATAGTGTGTGTTGTGTGTGTGTGGTGTTGTTGTGTATTGTGTGTATGTTATTATAATGTGTGTGTGTGTAAATATATATATATATATATATATAATATATATAATATATATATATATATATACACAACAACAACACACACACAACCACACACCACACACAGCCACACACACACACAAACCACACACACACATCACATTACAACATCATAAAACACCACACCATAACACACACACACATCATTCACAATAGACACACACACACACACACACGAACACACAGCCAGCATCAATCATTATTATATACACACACACATATAGTACACATAAAACACACACCTATGTGTATGTATACAGTTATAAGAATAACATATATAGA